CAAGTGAGATGAATGTGGTGGAAGTAAGATGATTGTGGTCCCAGTGAGATGAATGTGGTCAAAGTGAGATGAATGTGGTACATGAGTGAGATAAATGTGGTTGCAGTGAGATGAATGTGGTTGCAGTGAGATGAATGTGGTCAAAAGTGATAAGATGATTGTAGTCCCCAGTGAGATGAATGTGAAGTACTTGTGATAGCAGTCAGAGATGAATGTGGTTGAAGTAAGATGAATGTGGTCAAAGTGAGAGAGATGAATGTGGTGCAAGTAGAGATAAATGTGGTTGCAGTGAGATGAATGTGGTTTGCAGTGAGATGAATGTGGTCAGAAATAAGATGATTGGTGGTCCCAGTGAGATGAATGTGGTCACTTGAAGTGAGATGAATAAGGTGATGGAGTGAGATGAATGTGAGTGCAGTAGTGAGATGAATGTGAGTCAAAGTGAGATGAATGTGGTTGCAGTGAGATGAATGTGGTTGCAGTGAGATGAATGTGGTTGCAGTGAGATGAATGTGGTCGAAGTAAGATGATTGTGGTCCCAGTGAGATGAATGTGGTCCCAGTGAGATGAATGTGGTCGCAGTGAGATGAATGTGGTCCCAGTGAGATGAATGTGGTCCCAGTGAGATGAATGTGATGAGTGAGATGAATGTGGTCAGTAAGATGAATGTGGTCAAAGTGAGATGAATGTGGTCGCAGTGAGATGAATGTGGTCCCAGTAAGATGAATGTGGTCAAAGTGAGATGAATGTGGTCGCAGTGAGATGAATGTGGTTGCAGTGAGATGAATGTGGTCGAAGTAAGATGATTGTGGTCCCAGTAAGATGATTGTGGTCCCAGTGAGATGAATGTGGTCGCAGAGATGAATGTGGTCGCAGTGAGATGAATGTGGTCCCAGTAAGATGAATGTGGTCAAAGTGAGATGAATGTGGTCGCAGTGAGATGAATGTGGTCCCAGTAAGATGAATGTGGTCGCAGTGATGATGAATAAAGATTAATGAGTGAGATAAATGTGGTTGCAGTGAGATGAATGTGGTTGAAGTAAGATGAATAAGGTCGCAGTGAGATGAATGTGGTCGCAGTGAGATGAATAAGGTCGCAGTGAGATAAATGTGGTTGCAGTGAGATGAATGTGGTTGAAGTAAGATGAATGTGGTCAAAGTGAGATGAATGTGGTCGCAGTGAGATGAATGTGGTCCCAGTGAGATGAATGTGGTCGCAGTGAGATGAATGTGGTCGCAGTGAGATGAATGTGGTCGCAGTGAGATGAATGTGGTTGCAGTGAGATGAATGTGGTTGCAGTGAGATGAATGTGGTTGCAGTGAGATGAATGTGGTTGCAGTGAGATGAATGTGGTCGCAGTGAGATGAATGTGGTCGCAGTGAGATGAATGTGGTCTCAGTGAGATGAATGTGGTTGCAGTGAGATGAATGTGGTTGCAGTGAGATGAATGTGGTTGCAGTGAGATGAATGTGGTCGAAGTAAGATGATTGTGGTCCCAGTGAGATGAATGTGGTCCCAGTGAGATGAATGTGGTCGCAGTGAGATGAATGTGGTCCCAGTGAGATGAATGTGGTCAAAGTGAGATGAATGTGGTCGCAGTGAGATGAATGTGGTCCCAGTAAGATGAATGTGGTCAAAGTGAGATGAATGTGGTCGCAGTGAGATGAATGTGGTCCCAGTAAGATGAATGTGGTCAAAGTGAGATGAATGTGGTCGCAGTGAGATGAATGTGGTTGCAGTGAGATGAATGTGGTCGAAGTAAGATGATTGTGGTCCCAGTAAGATGATTGTGGTCCCAGTGAGATGAATGTGGTGCATGAGAGATGAATGTGAGTGCAAGTGAGATGAATGTGGTCCCAGTAAGATGAATGTGGTCAAAAGTGAGATGAATGTGGTGCATAGCAGTGAGATGAATGTGGTCCCAGTAAGATGAATGTGGTCAAAGTGAGATGAATGTGGTGCAGTGAGATGAATGTGGTCCCAGTAAGATGAATGTGGTCAAAGTGAGATGAATGTGGTCGCAGTGAGATGAATGTGGTCCCAGTAAGATGAATGTGGTCAAAGTGAGATGATTGTGGTCAAAGTGAGATGAATGTGGTTGCAGTGAGATGAATGTGGTCGAAGTAAGATGATTGTGGTCCCAGTAAGATGATTGTGGTCCCAGTGAGATGAATGTGGTCGCAGAGATGAATGTGGTCGCAGTGAGATGAATGTGGTTGCAGTGAGATGAATGTGGTTGCAGTGAGATGAATGTGGTTGCAGTGAGATGTATGTGGTTGAAGTAAGATGAATGTGGTCGCAGTGAAATGAATGTGGTCGCAGAGAGATGAATGTGGTCGAAGTAAGATGAATGTGGTCGCAGTGAGATGAATGTAGTCGCAGTGAGATGAATGTGGTCGCAGTTAGATGAATGTGGTCAAAGTGAGATGGAGGATGATGGAGTGAGACAGATAGACTTGAGATGAGAGAGGTCGTGAGAAGAATAGAGAGAAGTGGAAACAATTTTTTTCAGTTGTGGTGAGAATGCTACTGCTGCTGCTACATTGATACTGCTGAAGGATGAGTAACCTCCTTATTTCAATATCTATAGCCTTACCCCGTTAGATGGAAGCGCCTTCCTCTGTGCACTAAGGACAGCGTCGTGGACAGTGACAAACACTTGTTCTTTGTCGTTGGTCTTGAAGAAGCCTGTCTTCTCAAACATCTCACGTACGTCCACTATAACACACACACATGGTCAGTAGCAAGAGACAAAAGCTTTAAATTTCTATTTCCAACTTCTTAACCTATCAGACCGCGACTTGAAGGAACTGCCATAAACTCTGACGAACACACAGGGATGAGTAATTGGGGAAAATAAGCAAAATAAATCACCACAATCAAAAATAATTTTTAGAATTCCAGAATACAAATTTGAATTTAAAAAACAACAACATTCAATACTATAATAACACATTCAAATTAGAGTTAAACTAAAACTGCATTTGAATTACAATCATCATCTTAAACAAAATACTATTCACTGGTGTGAAAATACCCAAGGGAGAAAAACAATTCATACAAAATGTTAATGGAAACTTGTCTGTGACCCTGAAGAGTGCTCACCTTTACAATGGGCCAACAGCACCGACACATTCACATCCTTCAGTTCATTAATCACCTGAAACATCAAAGTTCATCACTTGAGAATACAAGACAAAATTGTTCAGTAGTGATATAACTTTTGAAACTACAATCTTCCTCATGATCTTACCTGAGAACACAGCGAGAATGAACAATAAACATTTGTTACAATGTCAAACATGAGAGACAAGATCAGTACATTCCCTGTAGTTCTAGGAACAGACACTGATGCAATAATAACTTTGTCAATATATTTCATAAATAAAGTTCTTCAAAAATCATTGTTGTTTGTTGTACATTGGTCTAGTGTACAGTACACAACCCTGTGCACTTAAAAGAACCCACGAATCCGTTGGTATATGACCAGATGGTGGCCACATGAATACGTGCAAACACCTTGTTGCGGGTACAGCATCGTGCACTAAAACTTGGACAATGTACTGTGACTATGTGTCCCAGTCCACCCAGCTGTGAATGGGAACCTCGTGAGGATGGGAAAGACACATTAACTTGGTGCACCTAGTGGCTGCATGAGTTGTATGCTCCTCAGGGAGTTGAGATTGAAAATACGATGTGCTGTTAAGATCCAGTGATCGAGGGAAAAAACAAAGCATTTTGAGCATGCATGTAGATAGAATGGACAATAGCGCTAAATAAATACCCATATAATAATGTAATATATTGTAATATTCCATCTAAATGACAGCAGTCTGTTAAAAATACTAGACAATCCAGTGATCAACATCATCAGCATTGTTCTATGCAGGTCAGCAAATAATTAGGCACTACACGAGCACTCATATCCATACACATGAAGTAAATGTATCATTTCTAAACAGATTCTATTTTACCTGTCATTGCAGAACTACATTACCTGACCGAGAACCTTCAAGCCAACCCGAGTCGGCGTAACTCATTGTAGAACAGTCGATGATCACTGTATGGACTTCAAGAGCCTACATTGGAATTGTACTGGCGTTTTCTGATGATATCCATAAAATGAACATCTGTCCGGTTGTTTGTTGTCTCCTGCAAATATCACAATCATGAAACATAAACATCTCAGCCGCCATGGATGCCAAGGGACATAACTCTGTATGGCATGTTTCAGCAGTCTATGTCACACCCTCAAATACAGTTCCCCATTGCTTTCTCATGGGGGCCTACAGGAATTCACAATAGATAGAATTATATGTATATTTAGGTGTAAAATCAATTTAAAATTATAGTTTGGGTTGTTTTAATTGAAGTTGTTTCTTCCTAAAACAGAGATCAAAGTGTGCATGCTCGGAAATGATCAAAACAGTCATTCAGAATAAGTGAGGTGAGGTGAAGTGCCGGATTTATGTACTAACCCAGGCTTAAGCTGGTTGATAGTGCTAGCTCACTGAGATACCATGCTGCAGTTAAGCATGAATACCCCACTTAGACACATTATGCTGACTCCGAGCTGACCAGTCCCAACAAGTACCATATTTTAATGTTTTTGGTATGATACAGTCGGAGATTGAACCCGCAAACCAGCTCTAACCACTACACCACGGAGGCGGTCTCAAAATAAGTAAACTGATAAGAATTGTTTTTTCACTAAAAATAAGATTATACGAGAAGGCTAGAAAAATAATGTACAAAACCTAATCCAGAAAGTAGGTACATATAGTTCTTTCAAGGACTTGAATGTATACACCAAATAACAGTGTGTCCCTGATACCATTGGGGTGGATGGGTGTGGGAGGTGTGTGTGTGTGTGTGTGTGTGTGTGTGTGTGTGTTAGCCTCATGGCTAAAGCATTTACTCGTCTCACTGAAGACCTGAGTTCGATTTCCCACATGGGTACAATGTGTTAAGCCCATTTTGGATCGTGATATTGCTGGAATATTGCTAAAAGCAGCGTGACAACCAAACTCACTCACGCACTGATGCCATTGGCTGGCTTACCTTGACAATCTGTGTCTCTGAGCCAGCCTGTTTCTTCTGTAGCTTCCTGGCTTTCTTGATGGACTTCTTCAGAGCTTTGGGATCAGCTGCCAGCTTGTAGACAGTCTGTTTGAAATGTTCCGTGTTGGCAAAGAACAGAGCAGAGTCGAACCTGTAGATCTTGATTCCTGAGATTTCAGCAGCCTGGAGAGAAAGTTCTGTGTAATGCCACTGATAACAGGAAGAGTTATCTCCCTTTGAAAATATTTGTATTTCTGAGCAATGATTGTAAGTGTTTCACTTGAACCTTCTCTGTCTCTAGAACAAATCAAAATCTGTGTTTGAGGGGGATTATGAGTCCATTTCCATAACTAATCGATAGACTTATCTTTAGTCTATTACAACACATAATTTTGACAGAAACAAGTAACTTTATTTAAATTGAAAAACATCCCCAGTGAGATGGAAGATTCAGAGCCTGAAACTGCTGCAAATCTAGACTTGGGGGTGCAGGCGGCATTGCCACAGTTAAGAGGAAATAATTAATTGTTTCCCATATGAGATGTGTTATTACAGGTATACAATGATGTACATCACGTTTAATTTTGATTTTTTAATATCACAGTATCCATATATACAAAGGGGCAGTGGGACAGTCTACTTGTTAAAGCGTTCTCTTGTCACATCGTTATAATGAAGACCCGGGTTCAAATACCCCACATGGGTACAATGTGTAAAGCCCATTTCTGGTGTTCCCTGCCGTGATATTGCTGGGATACAGCTTAAAGCTGCATAAAATCTCACTCACTCTATACAAAACTACACACTCAACCTGACAGTTATTTGGTAAGGCTTTTTTCAGTTAACTCAAATGTCAGTACACCTGTCTCTCTGTACACTCTCAGTGTTGAAGTACTTCAAAGTGCATTCTCACTGCTAGGCTGATTACACATATACAAAAAAAACTTTGGAGCAGTAGATATGGGACAGACCATTTAAAATGTAATTGAAAAGACTTATATAGATATATGCCATATTGCAAACATTAAACCGTTACTTTTCAAACTGAGTGTTGATTTGTTTTTCAGGTAAGTTGTGTCCCACGCTCAGCAATGACACCAACATTATTGGTGAGGACAAAAGGCGAAATATTAAAGTATTGATGAATTTTCACTCTTTGAAATGTAGCACTTTAACAACTAAACACATGCTGATACTATTCAAAAGATTCATAATAGTGACGCACATCAAACCAAGATCATTGTATTACAATCTGCTGATTTTTAGTTTTGAACACTTACTGGTTACGTCAACACGAACCAGTTCAAACGCCTACTTGTATATCTCACATGACAACATACAGTATTGTACGTCTATGTTGTGTGTACAAATATCTACATGAGAAGTAGTGGTGATTTAGGTGCATTAGATATCCAGACGGTTAATATGACAATTTGATTAATGTGAGAAACATAACCAATAACATTGCTCACAAGAGCATTGCCCAGGTTTGGTCCTTTAAAACATTTACAATTAAACAGATGAAGCTACAAAAATATCATTTAGTTACTTTGTTAAAATAATTTTGGTCCACAGGTTAATGTCCTGTGAAAAGCCTGTGTACTTTTAGACTAATGCTTAATCTCTGGAAGTATGTAATTTTAGTGGAAATATATAATTCTACCTAAATTGAACTGGAGTTCCAGAGAGATGGTAAATCCCGGGAAAAAATAGACTTGTTTCTTTCAGGACTTTTGCATTACAGAAAGGGCTAGTGGAAGGGACATAATATGGTTGAGGGACTTGAGACAGGCTATATCTAGAAATATATAGTATCCATTTAGAGAAAAACAGCATTCTTGGAGGCATATTGTTTTTGTGTGAATAGGTACCCAATGCATGTGTGCTTGGTGTTTAATGCTGCAAGATTTCAAGCTATTTGACTATTGCCTGTTAATAATCAAATCTGGGTCCGACAATCCACTGATAGATATCATGAATGAGTCAGGATCATGAACGTCCATGTGTCAAGGTAGGTCAACCAAGTCAAAGAGCATAACCATTTGATCAGTTACTGGGGACCTACTTTACTATGGAGGAATACTGGCATCCAGAAACTGTTAGGGTTATATTTCATAAATTCATAATAAGTTTATTTGCTGAAGAACATTGCAGTATTGAAGGTACTTCAAACACAATTGTTGTAATAAGTACCCATTCCTCTTTGCAGTTACACTTTTATATTATACCCTAACTCTTATTCCGTGTTAGTTACAGGCTACCATTTTTAGCTGTAACCTTACCATGTGGTTATGAAGTAAAGACTTGCAGCCTACCAGCATCTCTCCCTCATTAATGTTCAAAAGAACATAACACATACCTACATCAGAAGAGCTGCCGGTTTGCCACTTCTACCCCAACCTACCAGCATCTTTCCCTCATTAATGTTCAAAAGAACATAACTCATACCTACATCAGAAGAGCTGCCGGTTTGCCACTTCTACCCCAACCTACCAGCATCTTTCCCTCATTAATGTTCAAAAGAACATAACTCATACCTACATCAGAAGAGCTGCCGGTTTGCCACTTCTACCCCAACCTACCAGCATCTTTCCCTCATTAATGTTCAAAAGAACATAACAACAATTAGCCAACATGGGTGTACTTACGGCTTTGTAAGCCTTGATGTCCCTGTAAAGATCTGTGCCCGGTACATGCCCCATCAGACATGCATATGGCCTGCAAACAATCAGAGATACAAATACACCACTACAAATGGCAACATGCATCTCAACCTAACATGGTGATGTGAAATGGTGTTAAAAGTCGCATAAAAGACGTCTGCTCTTATAGAACAGGTGTGTGTCTGCTTAAATGAGTCATGAGCTAATTTCGTCCTCCTAGCACACAGAGACCAAGCTGCATTTTATTACCGGTATATCCTCATCCTACCGGGTACCCATTAACTGCTGGGTGAACAGAATCATGTTACAAACACCTGCCCAAGGTGACACCACATGTTCGTGGACCTTCTTCCAGACAGGTCTGTCAACCTGCTTGTGGTAGGGGGAGATAACTCTTTTCTGCTGATGAAGCTGTCGAATCAGGGTTCATGATTGTATATACTGTACATGTACCCACATGATGAATGATGACCTAAAGTGTGACTGACACAGATGAGAGTGTTCCAAGTTTTCAGAATATTTCAATGGAAAAGCAATCAGTGAGTGAGAGGGTCAAAAATGTTTTTTAGCTATTTTTTAGTTATATGGCATCTGAGCTTCATGTGGTAACAAAGCAAAAATTATGCAAGTTTATAAAGAATACCATTCTGGTCAAACCCTGAAGCATGGATATTGTGACACATGTAGAAATATCTTCAGGGCGAACCAGGATTTGAACTGATAACCCCATGTTTCTGCCATAATTCTGCCACAGCTTTGAAAAGAATTAATATATTTCATATTACTGTTCTTGGAGAAGTAAGCAATAACCGAGTGTTAGTTCAACTCTCCTGGAGCAGCTACTGACCTCTGAGATCGGACTATAACAGTGAGGAGAGCAAATCCTACGCCGACGCCAAGACCGAGGTCAACATCCAGGAGGACTGTAGCAAACCACGTCACTAACCACACCATCTGCAGGAAATGGAGAACACAGAGAATCAGAAACAGAAGACTCATATGAACATCACTTACTTGAGAAGTTCTGAAACAACTGGATAATTATTATGACATTTGAATTAATCCACTTTTGTCATTGTTTGTTGTTCAATGTCACACTCAACAATATTCCAGCTATATGGCGGCAGTCTGTAAATAATTGAGGCGGACCAGACCAGATAATCCAGTGATCAACGTCATGAGCATCAATCTACACAACTGGAATATGATGATATGTGTCAAGCAAGTCAGTGAGCCTGAGCACCTGATTCCGTTAGTTGCCTCTTACAACAAGCATGGGTTGCTGGAGACCAATTCTAACCCTGATTTTCAGCAGTTATTTGAGTGAATCTTGCATGAAATATACTTACAAAATCTACAATGGATATTTTCCATAATCGTTTCAGCTCAAAGAACTGCTTGAACATGCCCTTCAGAGCGACGATGATGATAGCAGCTAGCACGCACTGAAATACAGAGATTAGAACTAAATCAAACTTTTAGCCATTTTTCAGCCATTCCCTACTTTGTAAGATTACACTTATTAATATAACATCATCAATATTCATCATAATTTATCAAAATGGTTATGTTTCAAAACCTCTTAAATTTGGTTGGATTAAATCTTAACAAGGGATGCATCATTAGCATTTTGATCATATTTTCCTGAACACGAACATTTAATTTATATATTATCATACGCATATATTTGTTACTTTCAGTGAGTGAGTGAGTGAGTTTAGTTTTACGCCACACTCAGCAATATTCCAGCTATATGGTGGCGGTGTGTAAATAATCGAGTCTAGACCAGACAATACAGTCATCAACAGCATGAGCATTGATCTGCTGTTACTTTCAGAGGTAAAAGTACCACTGTAATGTTAATAGAATAATCATCATCCAAAGGAAATATTTGATTTTCTACCGTGAATAGCTGCAATACTGCTGATGCGGCTTAAGGTAACATTTACTCACTCACTCACTCACTCATCATCATTACTTACGTTAGGGAGGGAGGCAAAGTATGGCCCCACCACCAGCAGCACAATGAGAAGGAGAGCACTGGAGAACAGCCCCGCAACCTGAAACACAACACACTGGTTACATCCAGGCTGGATTGAGTACCCTGTGGGGTCCAGGTCCAACATAGGCTGTTCCACCCAAATGGGTTCCACGTAAGAAAAGGTTCCTAGCAGCCAAGGAAGGTCCTCTAATTGTGAGTCCTGATTGAAAAAGGTTCCCAACGACCTTGATTGTCTACCATTGGATTCCAGGTAAGAATTAGGTCCCAAGCAATGCTGGTTCTCTCATAATAAAGCAATATTTTTACCTCCCATAAGGCAGCTCTGACAGTCAATAAGATGACGATATCACAAATTCACCAATCCCTGGATATTCTATAACCAAGGGAGCTAACTGTGCACATACCTGAGTGCGACCTCCGACCCCCTCCTGCACCAAGCTACGCGAGAGTGAGGCTGATGCGCAGAAAGAGGAGAAGAAGGAGCTGAAGATGTTGACGATGCCGTACGCCAGCAGCTCCTGCAGCAGAAATACATCACCGATCTGTCATATACTATCATCTCACAATAAGTTGTTTCAAAATGAAACAAATGAAATCAAGCTAACCCTGTTTTGAAACAATGAATTGTAAAATGAATGATGTCAGTCTGCAGCAATCTGTAACACTGACCTTTTTAGTATTGAATCGACATATATATTTTCTAGTTTCATGATCACTGAAGTGCATTAATACAAAACACAATGGTCATTTGTGACGTCATCCAGCCTACTACTTACTACTCTTACCAAGTATGACCCTCCACACAAAGTTTCCGTCATAACTATAGTCTGTTTGCAGTGAAAACGTACCGATGAATTTCACTCTAAACAAAAAATGTATACATTCAAATCTCAGAATTTTATTCAACTTAGGATAAAAGTTGCTTAACAAATGATCATAGTTTCAAATCGATATTATTGGTTTGTATTACAAGGGGGTATGCACATTAGATGAAACACCGAGAACAAGTAGGGCTGGTCTAAGTTCTCGCTCATCAAGTACAGCACGTGCATTTGTTTCACTGTTCCATCTACTGCGCTTACCCCCTTGTAATACAAACCAAAAATAGCGATTTGAATCTATGATCGTTTGTTAAACAACTTTTATCCTAAGTTGAATAAAATTCTGAGATTTAAATGTTCATTTGGCAAGGTAAAATTATGAGGATTCGCAATCTTAATTTCACTTAATTTGATTTACTTTGTTGTTTAAAGTGAAATTCATCGGTACGTTTTCACTGCAAACAGACTATATGGCTTGTCAAGTCAAAGATGATGATGAAAACTGGATACAACCTCAGATAATTTCTTAACATTACACCAAACTTTCAACACAGACATGAGTGAGTTTGACTGATGCATGATCAACTTATGTATGATATACCATCAGGAAAGTAGTCTGCCAAAATCTGACCTCAGGTCATCACCACCGGACTAGCCAATCCGCGGAGCTTGAATTCAATCTCACATGTTTGATACCAGTTATTTGACATAGGTCTCTGTACCTGGTTAGAATCAACCTCATAGTCATGTTTCTTGGCCAGAATCTTTGCCATGGACACTGAGATGGCAAACGCAACAATTCCCACAGCTACAGCATCGCTGACGACATCAGGGAGGTACTCAAACTGTTGTGCCTTTGGGGGAGGGATGCTGAAAGTCACAAAGTTATATAATGCAAATTATAAATGAAAAATTCAAAAACTCCTAAAACAATATTCTGTTTGATGTATCCAACTTACAGTTGTTTTAAAGTAAAAGATGGGTATTCTTACATATTTCTTTTATTCCTATTTCAGCAGTCATTCCTAAACTGACGTGATTCTTTAGTAAAATATTTTCTTTAAAACAGCATTAATATTTAAAAATGTTTTGATTCTGCCTTGTCACAAACATTGTGCAAGTGTTTCCAAAACACCACAGATATTGTACCCAATTACAACAATGCTAGCAAAATATTTATGGTTTTAAAGGGAATAGTCCCAAAACACCAAGCGTGTTCTTTCTTATGTACGTCAGTATATTTCAGCTTTACTGATATACACTATGTCACATTCCAGGTTCATTTAACATAGAAGGTCGCGATGAAATACAATGATGCACACAAGGCAGGTTTATAACTCACCCAATTGGAATATCACCAACGATTTTTCACGTCAAAGTTTGTATTCAGGTAGGCAAACTGGGAAATCACAGTACCGAGCACAACCTACAAGATACGCCAGTTGGTTTAAAACAGTTGAAGTTACAAGTGGTTGGTTGGATGACAGGATGTTTAATACCTCACTCAGCAATATTCCAGCTATAAGCTGTAAATAATTGAGTCTGGACCACACAATCCAGTGATTAAATAGAGAATCTCATCCGAGTGTCTATTGATATGAAATATATCACCACGCGAGGTTGATAAAGTAACAAATATCCCAGGCTTGCCGAGGCTATTTTTACTTTTATCAACGAGTGTTGATATATTTGATATCAGAAGACACGAGGGTGAGAATCTATTTATCATCAAAAATCACTTTTCATTAGTTTTCAATGAAAAATGTACATCTCTGAACACAGTACTCCATTAGATTTGCAGTGCAGCGATGTAATAACATTGTGACGTCAACAAGTTCATGATGTCATAGCATTGTCAGGGCATTGTACAAAATCTACTGTCAAAACGATATCTGATCTCACACAAGCGATATCTACTGTGGAACACAGTTTGGGATGATAAAATCACAATCTACAAGGTACGCTATGTTGAAAATGTATGTTGTACATGTTGTGATACCCACTAAAAGAAATAAAGTGATGAAAATATAAATCACAAGTATCGATTTACGCAACAGGGATACAATGTCATGTGTCAATCAGGAGCCTGACCACCCGATCCCGTTAATCGCCTCTCACGACAAGCATGGATTACTGAATATCAATTCTAACCCGGATCTTCACAGGTCTGGTCATGGATGGAAGGATGGAAGGATGGAAGGATGTAAAGAATCAAATATTACACTGTTTATAATTCACAAACTTTTAAAAATAGACGCCGAACAATGATGGATAATTATGGCCATTCAGCCCAAAATAAACAGACTTAAGCCGAGTGTTAAGCCGAGTGTTAAGCCGAGTGTTAAGCCGAGTGTTAAGCCGAGTGTTAAGCAGTAGAAAGCCACATTACGAACCACAATGAGTTCTATAGGCACGGGCATCTTGAGCTTGGGTTTGACTTTGGGGTTGTTGTTGATGCACTCCTTGACCACCGCCAGCATCAAGATGCAGATGATGGAGGCGATGAGGGTCACAGCGTTGGTCTGAGGGATGTTCATGAAGAAGTCTCGGTACGACTGGAATAAACATGACAACTGTCACTGGTAGAAACAGATATCAACATGGTGAGCGAGTGAGGTAGAGAAGAGAGTAAGAGAAGTGTAAGAGAGGTAAGAGAGAGAGAGAGAGTAAATGAGAGAAAACAGCGAGTGTGAGAAGAGAGTGAGAGAAGAAAGAGAAGACACTGACTGATAGAAGCGAGTGAGTGAGTGAGAGAAGTGAGAGGAAAAAGAATATGAGAGTGAATGAGAGGAGAGAGTGAGTGAGTGAGCTGGGTTTTACTCTGTATTCAGCAATATGCTAGCCATATAACAGTGGGGAATCAAGTGAGTGAGTGAGTTAATATTTAACGTCACATCGGCAATATCTCGGCCATATCGTGACGAAAACATTTTATACAATAAAGATGAAAACATTTTGAAGATTAAAACATTCTGAAAATGAAAACCTGTCGACGATGGACAGTAAAAATACTAGAGTATCACAGATATGAATATAAAGTTAGCATGTAAAACTAAAACATATTAATCAAAGAAGACAACACAATACACGGGCTATAGTTCACCAACAGCTGAAGGTAGATCACCATACTGGGAATCAAGAATGGTCTTCACACTTTGATTCCATGAAGAAAATCAACCCTAAGTTTGACATCGTCAGCTTTAACTAGAAAGCTAGATAGGAGTTTTTGAAGCCACTATGATAATGCCATGCTCTTGTTGTTACAGTTAATTCTGAATACAGAATTCAGGAACAATTACATTTATTGTTAGTAATTGTCAAAGAGAAAATATGCATAAACTTTACCTCTCTGTTGATTCGGAAATAATAGGAACAATTACATTTATTGTTAGTAATTGTTAGTAAACTTACCTCTGGTTGGTTGCCTTATTCTGTGGTTTCCACAGACACATACAGAATGAAGTGAAAATTTTAACACTAAGTCATAGCTATCCCTTGTGGTATGCCCTTCCAACTGACAGAGTTACCTCCCCTGACCTAGATGTCACTGTATAGTAGTTTGAAAATCCTCACAAATTTTATGAATACAGTTTACAAAACACTTATCTTCTAGAGGAAAGGAGGAGAGGAAGAGTAGGGACCTATACCCCATAATCCAGAGGTAAGTTTACTAACAATTACTAACAATAAATGTAATTGTTCCTAATTGAGCGTAAACATTCCCTCTGGATTATGGTTGCCTGAATCCCACATCACGGATGGAGGGCTATCCCTAGAAGAATAGTCCTGAAGCATACCATACCACTAGTGAGTTATTCTCCATGATCAAAATCCTCTAAGGATAACTATGACTTAGTAGTAAATAATTCACTGGTGAAATATAATATTGGATCATTGTCCACTGGACTTCCGTCCAAATGTTGAGTAGTCTCTAATTATCAATCGAATTATACTACTATTCAGATGAATTAATATTGATAATTTCCAATTGACAACTTCCCAATTCTGTCATCTCATGGCGTAACTTCCCATTTATGGCGTCACTTCGGTCAATATTAGGTCTATGGCGTCACTTCGGTCTATGGCGTCACTTCCGGTTTATGGCGTCACTTCGGTTGATTCTCCCAATCCTTAAGATTAATTCCGTAATAATTAGAGACTACTCCTTTCAATACTCAACCACCACCTGAGTTCGGTTAGTATCTATAATAGGGATAATCGTAACTGTGACCTACCTGATAATACTTCTGTCTCGATATCTTCTCTCCATCATCGTTATAATCCAGGTGTGTAACATGCTTGACATGATGATCAATCCCTGCTAACCCCTTTTAATAGGTACTAGGCGGAGGAAAGGTGTTGTGCAGCTACTAACGGACCCAGGGACTTAAGGCCTTCCATTGAAGAGGCTACATCTCTTAAATAAAAATTTATAAATGTGTTTGACGACTTCCACTGACAACTAGCCACCACTTTCGTTCAACTGAAACTGAACCCCATGCAGCTACTGTTGATGCTAATGCCCTAATCTCATGTGGCGAGAATCTAACATTAACTGATTCTTGATCAAAGTCTCCGTAAGCATAAAGCGATTGTCTTCCTGAGCCATGAAGAAATTGTATTCTTAGATATGTCCATTATTAACATTTGTTTTACAGGAGAGGAAGAGATGACTGACGATTCCGTCTAAAACTAGATGTCGCGGTGTATATACCATCTGAGAGCTTTCGGATCGGACAAAGTAGTCTTGATCTGTCAGATCTAGAGGCAGGGGCAGGCAGAGCTGGTATTCTGTAGACTCTGTGTCCTAACAAACCATGAGGCGTCGACTGATTCTTGGCTGTAAATTCAGGCACCGTCCTACAAGTCATCATCTTATACCCTTCCGAGAATGCAATAGATTTAAAGTCAATAGCGTGCAGTTCTGACACTCTTGAAGCCGTAGCAAAGCCAGTAGAAAAGCAGTTTTAAAACTCAAGTATTTTAAGGAAGTGTCTTGCATAGGTTCAAGCGGAGACTTCTGTAGAGCCTGTAGTACCAAACATAGATCCCACTTAGGAAATAATGGCCGATGATGACACATCCTTGATCTGGAAAGATCTAATAATCCTGTGTAAAGAATGATCAGATCCTACAGATAGTCCCTGTAAGTCCATGACTGAAGCAATCGCTGATCTATAGCCTTCAATAGTATTGTGTTTTAATTTTTTTAACCATCCTGAGATATATAAGAAAATCTGCTATGATAGGTATGGTGACTGGAATATTAGTAGTCGTTGCTCTCTTCTCCACTGGATGAAGACATTCCACTTGGTGTCATACAGTGCTGCCGTTGAAGGTCTGATAGACTTCGGAGATAGCGAAATTGCTTGTTCATTGAAACCCTGCTCCTTGAGGGAACTATAGATAGTCTCCATGCGTGAAGAAGAGCTAGTAGGTTTACATTTTGTGTGGTATCTGTCCGACTTGGGCTGACTGAGAAGATTTTCCCAACAAGGCAGTCGTAAGGGTTTGTCCGTCAATAATTGAAGAAGGTCCGTGAACCATGTTCTGGTTAGGCCATGCTGGAGCTACCAGATAAACTACACAGTTGTGTTGGGCGATCTTGGCTAGTACTTCGGTATCAATTTGAGCGGAGGAAAAGCATATGCTATCAGATTTTCCCATGAGATTGACAGGGCATCCACTGCCCAGGCTGTCGGATCGAACAGGACTCACAAATGTAGGTAGGCGATTGTTCCTTGCTGTCGCGAAGAGATCTATGGATGGTGTTTCCCATTTCTCCTTGATGAGTTTGAAAGCCTCCATATTCAAAGTCCATTCTGTTGATATCACTCTGTCCTGTCTGGAGAGAGTCTGCCAAAATATTCACCTTTCCGGGATGTGGCGAGCTTTTATATGACTTTTCATGGAATCTGCTATTTTGAAAAGTTCCTTAAGTAATCTGTAGTAGGCGATGAGATTTGGTTCCGCCCTGTTTGTTTATATAGGCTACTACTGTGCTGTTGTCTGTCACTAACATAATGTTCTTCTGATGCAGGTTCCAAGACCAATGAGACAGAGCTTTTACCAGCTAACATCTCCAGACAGTTGATATGGAGATTGCTTTCCTGTTGAGACCACAGCCCCTGAACTTGATGTTACGTTGACATGGCCCCATCCCGAGTTTGAAGCGTCCGCATATAGAGTGGCGTCTGGAGGAGGAAGACGAAAATGTACTCCTGGAAGCACGTTGCTGTCCACCGTCCACCACAAAAATTCCTGGCCGAATCATGAAGGGAGGAGATACCATAGTTTCTAAGTCCAGATCCCTGAACCCATTGATCCATATTTGCGGTTCGCGAAGATGAATCCTGCCCCTCATCGTGAAATCTTGGATAGGCGTAAGAGATCCCAGCAGGGACATCCATGTCGAATTGATGCGACCTTGCTTGCTTGCTAACAGATTGAAAATCTTGGTCGGATCTTGTACCAGCGATCCTGAGGTGTAAAAATTAGTGCCGTTTTGGCATCTAGGATGGCTCCCAGATACTTGATTTTTGATGTGGGGACTAGTTCTGACTTGACCGGGTGTACAACAAGGCCTAGATGTGTGAACACGTGGAGTATAAACTTGGTCTGTTTTAAAAGAGTCTGAGTAATTATATTCCGTGCCAGGAAATCGTCCAAGTAACCGTGGATAGCTATCTGGCGATGATGTAGGAGCGCTAAAATGGGATTGATGATCACCGTGAACAGCCAAGGAGCTAGAGAAATTCGAAAGGTAGAACACGAATTGAAATCTCCGATCCGTTTACCCGTGAAAGCGAAGGTACTTCTGAGACCGAGGATGTATTGGTACATGAAGATAAAGCGTCCTTCAGGTCTATGCTGATGAATTTGGAATTTGGTTGGATAAGAGTTCTCAAATTGGTCAGGGATTCCATCTTGAATTTGGGAGGTTTCCTTAAATATTCCTTGTTTAACACTTTCAAGTCTATGATCATCCTCATCTCCTCCGTGTCTTTCTTGGGAACTAGAAATACCGGGAGTAGAACCCGCATGACTGGTCTGATGGTGGAATCTCCACTATGGCCTGCTTGTCTAACAGTTGTTGAATGGCGTTACTGCTCCAGCTAGAGCGATCCCCTTGCAGGAAAAAGCGTCTCCCTACCGGCTGGTAGGTTACTGGAGGTAGACTCTCCCATGGTAGCATGTAACCTTTCTCTATGACTGATAGAATCCAGCTGTCGAGGTGATCTGTGTCCAATTCTCCACATATTGTGCTAGCCGACCCCCTACGGGGAGATTGGGATACCGGTAGAATAAATTCGAAGTCTGTTTCCAAATTGAGGGCATTTCCAAATCGTAAGGCTGAGTAAACTGGACTATTTGATTGGAGTCAAAACTTCCTAGATCCCGCTCTGGTGCCACGAAAAACCTGGTGCCTCTACCCCTGCCCTAGAGGATGAGTAGCCCGAGTTGAAGATGGTGCTGGCGAGGAGAAATTACAGCGACCTAGAGTCTCCTGCCCTGTCAAATGCTGAGCGTTGCAGTGGCTCCTGGCGTCTGTGAG